ACGTCCAGACCACATCTCATATTTGTTAGGACTAAATTGCCCTCAGATCGTTGCATGGTCATATGAAACGACCGAGACAGAGAACAAAGCACAACGCCAGCGCCTCGCCGTTCCTCCTGCTCTCAGCCGCCGCCTTGCCGTGCTTACTTCCCAGCGCGCCGCCGCCTCCCTGTGATTGATCCCGTCGTCCCCTCGTCCTGCTTCTTTTCCTCCGGGACGCATGAACATGTACATTCTGCTGCCTTGCCCGACAGGTCTGACATATTCCTTCCGTTTCTAAATATTTGTTTTTTTTAAGATTTCAAATGGTTATCACATACGGATGTATATAGACATATTTTAGAGTGTAGATTCACTCATTTTTCTTCGTATGTAGTCACTTATTAAAAACTCTAGAAAGACAAATATTTAGGAACGAAGGGAGTATGTACCTAGAAACCCTAGACCATGGACATTATGATGGAGGAGCGCTAGTGGGCAAGCTTCAAGAGTACGAGTAGAACCTGTTGTTCATGGTGAAAATGCTGTCGAAAATTTGATTGTATCCATATCAACAAAACTATACGTCAACACATGTTACGTCCATCCAATCTGAATTTTGATACAGCCATATGAAGAAGCATCCATATCTTCTTGTAATAGTTGCTACAGCCATCAACACGTAAGACAGTTGCTAGTGCGTGTCACTAGTATTTGAGCCATATGCTAACAAAGCTAGCAACGAGCATCTACAGCAGGGAGCAGGCTCCAGCGAGCACTTCTCCATCTAGGCAGCAGATGCAACGAGCAGCGCCTGGACGGGAGACATGGGGGAGGAGGAACGGCGAGGTGCTGGTGCGGGGAAGGAGGCACGACCAGGCGGTGGCTCGCCGGGGAGGACACACGGCGAAGCGGCAGCGTCAGGAAGGATGCACGTCGACGCGGCGGCGCACTGCTTTGTCTCTGTCTCCATGGTTTCATATATGGCCAAGAAACGATCTGAGGGCAGATTCGTCCTAACCAATATGATATATGGGCTTGGAGGTGGAAAATGAGAGGAAAAACGAATTTGTGCTAGTTTGTCCAGCTATCAATCAAAGATGTGCTATTTAATCCAATAAAAAGAAAGGTGTGCTATAGGATCAAAGTCTCAGGAAAGGTGTGGCATTTTCTCAAATTGCCCTGCAGTCTTGTGTGGTTCCACTGCTTGCATTTGGACAAGTGCCTAAGAAAGCTCCGTTGAAGCCACAATATGACTACGCTTCTACTACATGGCAGATGTGCTGGTTCAGTAAGAAATAACTGCTTTGTTATACAGTACTTATAGAGGGATGATCCGCGGCCCTGTAATCTGAGCCAGAACACCTAGGCCCACGGGCCTCTGTGATCCGTGAATGGGCCTATTCACACGACCGAAAGTTGTTATCTGGTGCTTGACGCCCATATAGTCCACCACCCACACGTCATCGTCGGCCGACGCTCATCCGCGCAGCTGATCGCTGATGATGTGTCGATGCCGTTGTAGAGTTGGTCGGGAATCAGCCCGCCATTGTCAAACCCGACTAAGAGGTTGTTTGATTGGCATCCTTGCTTTGCCACGCCTAACTTGAACTCTGCCTGAAAATTGACTGAGTAGTGTTTGGATGCTCTCCATATAAGCACACACTAGCCTGGCATAGTGAAGTCAGCGTCTTACTTAGCCTGGGCCCTTAACCCAGGCATGTTGCTTAGTCTGGTGTTGGAAACAGGTTGCCCGGGTGCTGCCTGACAACTGATTCCACTTCAATCAGCATATTCACATGTGGGCCATGTCTAAAAGTATGTATTTTTTTAGCATTGATCATTCTCCAGACGTGGACAACAACCAAACATGGTATGCCTGATCAGGCAAAAAGTTTCTACTTTCCAAACTAGGCCCAGGCGAGAACCAAACAGGCCCTAATTGCGACACACCCCGTTGTATTGGCCGTAGGATCTCAACAACCTGAACAGGGCAACGGTTGAGAACTGGTCTAGCTCAGCCATCGTGGACGTAGGGTCCGTGCAGCAGTTCGGAACTGGTATAGCCCAGCCATCATGGACGCAAGGCCCACGCGACCTGTACAACCATGAGGTGCCTAGAACATCAACGATAAGTGCAGACCTCTAGATCCAGATTTAGGCATAACCACCGCCAAAGAAGGAGACTGGACCAGAGCTTCCCACCACCACACTTCTTGCCACCCACACGACCAAGAAACATAGTTACCACCGATGCCCGCCAAAGAGCTAACTGTGCAGAACATTGCCTCGGCATTTGAGGCCCCAATGCCAGCCCACCCCAAACCTGCAACCACTCACTCCTAAGGGACAAGTGGAAAGGTCATTCCTTCACCACCCCGGGCAGTCCAAGGCCCGTGTCCTATCCCCGGACACAGGAAAATGAAGGACACTCCCCCCACCCTGCCCTAGCGGGCAAGGCGCGAGCCCCCGACATGCAGGGGATGGAATGGAACCACGACCTGGTGGCGGAAGATTCGCCAACCTTGGCGGCGATCCGACCAGTGGCCAACCCTATGGTCTCGATTCACGCAGCTCCGGTTAGAGTAGATGGGAAGCCCTCCTCAGACCGACATCACTAAAGATCGAGAGAGAGGGGCACATTGCCACAAGGGAGTGCCACCACCAAAGATCGACCCCCACCAGCTGCACTCTCTATGGTGCTCTATGCCAGCCAAAGAATGAGTTGACGGCTGGTTGATGTCCCGGTCTGACCTACACTAGCACCGACTGCTAGGAACCATCACATAATCTCATTTTCTTTTGAATAATTTGGATTCTTTTTCACAAAAAGGATCAAACCTATTATAAAGATTAATCGGATGTACAAAACACCCCAAACATAATAAAAATTACATCGAGGTCTGTGGACCACCGAACGACCATTGTCACCGCCAAAACGAGCCGCCGACGCACCGTTGTCGCTTCTCCCATACCGGAGCCGGCCTAATCTTGTCGATGACAGTCAGGAAGTCTTCGTGTACGTGCCCCTAAGGACCAACGCCCTGTCGTCGCAGTCGTCGCTATTGAATCCTTGAATAGATTGAAGAACCTGACACCAAATATCGCCGTTGCGTACGCACGATAAGAAACTCTAACCTCGTCACCCCGAGGAGCTGACAGGAATCTATGCAAGAGCTCTGTCTAATACGTCCGAACAGATGAACATGAGGAGGACTGGAGCCCGAAGACTGACTCGAAGAAGAAGCGCCACCATTTGTCCAAACTTCGCCCCTGCGAGGACTAAAACTCTACCTATCTACTAGCCAGATTCAAGGCACCAAAAATCCCCTCGCTGCCACCGGCCGCTGGAGCGGCAGACGGAGGGGAGGCGAATCCACGGACTCGCCGGTGGAGATCGAGGGCAGAAAGGCTTTCCCTAGGCGTCTTGCGAGAGGGGAAAGAAAAGATAATTCTAATAGTTTGGATTGCTTTACACATGTTGCTTGAACATACAACATTTCCATACATGTCCCTTTATTGTAAAAACATGAACAATTGAGCCAAGCTTTCCGCTGAATGATGGTTGCTAGCCATCACTTTAGTTAGAAGATTGTCGTAAATAATAATTGAAAAAACACAAGGTAAATGAACTGTAGATTTTTCTTTGCTTTTTATATAGTGCTAAAATGAGCCGGAGATGTGTGCATCTATCTCTAAGAAGAAAGACAAGAATCGATCGCTTGCTTGATATTACGGGCTTAAGAGGATGGGGTGTCGACCCGTTGACTAGGCAGGTGGGGTAGCTGCCAACCCACCCGAGTTCGAGCCCTGACTCGGACGCGCGGTGCTCACGGAGTTTCTCCTTAAAAAATCAATGATGGTTAGCCCTTGGGTTTGTCTTTTTTTTCCTATATTACGGGCTTAATGGGCTCTAGTTTTTAGTTCGGGCTGGACTTGGATGGGCCCTGATTGTCTGGCCATGGCTAGGAAGGGGGAGGCATCGGATCTTCTTCACTCCATCGACCAGTCTTGAATCTCTTGATCCCCTTTCCACTCAAACCCTGAACCCACGGAATGGAAGGAGACACGCCGTCGGCATGTGTATCCAAGGTGCTCGACGACGACAACCTCTTGACGGAGATCATCGTCCGCATCGGCTTCCTCACCAGCCTCGTCCGCGCCGCCTGTGTCTGTAGGGGCTAGCTCAGCCACTCCTTCGACCGCGCATGTCTCCGTCGTTTCCGCGAGCTCCACCTGCCCAGACTCCTCGGCTTCTACCTCAAATGAAGCTATCTGTACGCCGCCGCACGTTTCTTCCCGATGCTGCCACAACCCTCAAAGCTCGGTACCGTCATCCGCTGTGCAAACTTTAGCCAGAGGCCATTCTTCTCTGGAAAAGAAGGGAATACCATGGTGGGTTGCTCGAACGGCAGCGTCCTCACCCGCCGCCTAAACTTCAGTGGCCTGGACACGTACGAGCTTGTATTCACAGTGTACAACCCGTTGTGCAATGAGAGAGGTATGGCCATCCTCCCAGGATTACATCTCAGAATCCCAGATGCCAGCTGTTTGTGCAATTGGGCACAACTCTTCTCCAAAGAAGGGGATGGGTCGTCCCAGTGGCGGA